CGTCACCATACGCCATTGTGTAGATCGTTACTAATAATATTGATCGCAAGATTGTCTGGTCCAGGCTCGATTATTCAGAGGCCGCGGTCAAAGAGTTTGATATTGCTTAGTGGGACCTTTAACAACAAGCAAAAGACAAATAACGCTACTTTGCTTTGGTTAGCGTACCAAGATCATGAACTGACCATAGTGGTCAATGCATAAGTCTTATTGAAGATAGGACCTTTATTGAGCAGACGCTGGAAGACATGGACCATAGAATTTGACCGTGTGTCCCGAGCTCCGTGAATCGACTGCCCCTGCATTCGATTCGCGACATGAGTACAAAGTGTGAAGCCCATTTCTGGTGTGCCCCCCCCCCCCCCCCCCCCCCCGAATATTACTTAAAGCAGCGTAATACCATACTCACTCACTCAATCCAGGCGTACGTAATGAGTCCATTGTGATGTTTTTAGGCCATTTTGAAGTCCTCAAGAACTTTTTGTCTTTCTGACGGAACAATAATTGTAGAATGACCAAAATAATTTGGCATTTTGTGAAGTGAAAATTTCAGTTATCTTAAACTTTGACTGATTTTACACATGCACTGTAACATACAGTTGTTCCAGGGATTAATACAAGATACAGTAACTACTGGGTTACCGTTAGATCTAATTCATAGCTACAACCTGATTAGACGCAATCATTTCAATATCAAAAGAATTACAAACAAAGTAAACAGTGGAATGACAGCAATGTACATAAAGGTGTGTGTAACCGAATCACGCATAGATGTCAGATCTTATCTACATTTGCATGAATAGGTCAGGAACTTTGAAGTTGACGAATGATAAAGTAGCGATTTTTTTCTTTATCATACTGTCACAACAACGTTTCGGTATAGATCCTTACACCGTAGTAAAACGAGTACAGTCTTACTTGAGAATGGTATAAGGATTTTTAACGAATGTCGCTGTTGCAATATAATAAAGAAGTTGTTATCCATAAATATTTTGTCTACTTTTTCAAAAACCATAATGTACACCGTACTGGAAACAACATGGAAGTGACTGGTCTTGTTTAAAGTTTCCGCTTCCCAGACCCACACAACATGTTAGTTAATCAATACTTTATTGGTATATACGTGCTACGCACACGTGTATCTAAATACCCACAGCCCAATACAATTGCCCCAAGGAAGGCAACGTGGTGACACGAAAGTATTTAGATTCACATTCAGTTTATTCAGAATTCAAGGCCATCCGACCAACAGTACATTCATATATCTAACATGTATAGATGTATCTTAATATCTCTTTTGATACAAAGAACCTTGTACCAAAATTTTGACAATTAAAGAAATTTTGTGAATTTAAATATGTACATAGGTTTGCTGCAGCCAATATGAAATTAGAATTAGCTGCAATGTCTTGCAAATTCCAAATTACGTTCTACTGCATAACATGTGCAATAAAATAAAACATGACTTTCATCTTCTATTAAGAAACAGGTTTTACAAAAACAACTTCAAGATCATATATTCCAAGGGGATTCATACATGATTTGAATTTTAACAAAGCCTTTTCTTATAACACACAACGCTAATATCTGTTAAATACAGTTCACATTCAGATATAGATATACAGAAAGAGTAGATTCAAGAGATTTTCGGTCACACATCGCGGCATCTTGTTCAGCAAGTCTACAATATGTTGCCGAAATAACACAACAAACATATTACAACTTCCTACTTCTTGCCACAACTAAATATAAACACAAACCTATTTGGAAAGAAGATTTTTAACATGAGTGGCCCAATTCGGACGGCTTCTATCAGATGTATTTTTAACATTATGTAACACTGGTAGGTATATGTATCATTGGACATAATATAGGTGGGTGAGATGAAATGGGGTTTAACGTCGCGTCCAAGATTATTACACTTATAGAGCGACATGCATGCACGTGTGTGTGTGTGTGTGTGTGTGTGTGCGTGCGCGCGCGCGCGCGCGTGTGTGTGTGTGTGTGTCTGATTGTTCTAGTCCGGACTGATGCCGATTTATAGTGCTAGCTTACTGAGATACCATGCAGCAGTTTAACATGAATACCCAACTCAGACAGAGTGTACTGACTCCGAGCCGACCAGTCCTTGTTTTAGCCCCTTAATGCCGAGCGCCAGACAGGGTAACAACAAGCACCATCTTTTAACTTTTTTTTGTATGACGCGGCCGGGGATCGATCCCGGACCTTCCCTTCACCCGGGCTGACGCTCTACCACTAGAGGTTGGTACACGTAGGTGATCTACATGAAACTATATAAAATGTGGAGGTGGGTAATGTCAAATATGTTTTCGCTGAGTATTGAGACATTCTGCGTACTTACACGGGGGAAATTTGCGAATTAAGTGGATGTTTGGTTAGAAATAGGAGAATTTGTATTTGAGTCGAAAAAGAAAACAGAAAATTGTTCTTGTATCAATTTTCCGCTTCCTACTTCATTGGAAAATGTACGTGCTCCGTACACAAGCCCCTAAATACCCACATCCCAATACTGACGCCTCAATCAGGGCAATGTGTGTGGTGGCTTTGAAGTATATAAAGTATGGAAGTGAATAATGACAAATGTGTTCGAGACATTCTGCGCGCTTACACGTGAGAAATTAATGAAATAAGTGAATAAATGGTTAAAAATAAGGAAAAGAATTTATTGATGTCAACTACTTTATTATGAGGAACACAACGTTGAGGAATACTTACTAACCCTGAAATACACATGTGATGTGCGATCTTCTTGGCTTGGTGGTGTTGGGAACTTGGGGTCTGCAGTAATAATATCCACAATATTCTTCAATGTGCACTTTAAGGGCGTTTGTGAAACCCTATGCGAAATCAGAATCGGTCTTAAGAACATTATGTATGTGGGAGTCAAGCTATGCATGTTATGCTATCTAAGGTAAATTATTGCTCGATATATTTGTTATCCCCGTTCTTCATCCAGATTTCCTCTATTAACATACACACTGGTTCTTCCTGTCCAAAAACTTTACTTTATGGGCGCCAAATATGGTCGAAGTGCAAAGGTCCGGTCATTACATTTTTAAAAAAAAAAAGACTAGGATTGGCCACAATTCTCTTCATCATGGCTGCAACGTCGGCCGTATTGAAAATTAGATTCGAAACAAATTCAGATGACATTATTGGTGGGAAAAGGCATGTAAAGCTTGGGATTCCTTGGAATGACTTCTTTCGAAACGTTCGTCCACACATCCAGTGCCCTTGTCAGTGTAGTGTTGTTGGTCTTCAATGGTCTTTGTTTTCCCATATGTCATAAATTATGCCATAATTTACATATTATTGCCTTAAGTATCTAGTAGGAACTACAAAGATATGTTTCCTTCACACATCTTCTTAAGTTGGTTCAACTTTTCGCATGACTCTTAAACCTTTAGACTGGATTCGAATGCTCCATACAAAAACAGGATCCATACAAAAAGATATATTACTGGGTCCAGCAAATGTACCGACAAATCCTGGTCTCAAAGATTAACCATAATCCTTAATACCATCAAGGAAGGGCTTCCTGTATTTTCAAATAAAGTATTTGAGACAAGTGGAATTAGTACCAAAACCTCAAATTATTAGCATGACTTTCTCAGAAAAGAACCAACTTCAGTTCTGTCAAAACATTTGATTTTTCAACTTTGTACACCATTATCTCACACGGCAAACTTTAGGAAATAATCCATTCTTTGATCCATGGGGCTTTTGTTACAAAACAAGAAGTGTATCTTCAGCTTCAGGTATATCGATGATCTGATATCATTCAATTTCCTTCAAATAGCCACGTCCCTTCCACTGATTTACCCACCTGAACTAGAAATAAAGGATACCGCCTCATATGTTTCCTATTTAGATCTATGCATAAACGTTCAGAGTGAGAAAACACTATCCACAAGACTGTATGGCAAGAGGGATGATTTCACCTTTTCCCATTATGTCAAGCAATATTCCTGCAGCCCCAGTCTTTACATTTCACTTTTGAGGTACAATCGAGTATGATCTTTCTACTAGGATTTCAAGGAAGTTGTTTGATCAAAGTTACATCATAAAAGCCCTCTGTAAAACTTTTGAAAAGTTTTGAGATAGACAAGTGGAGGACATTCGACGCACAGATGACAAAAATTATCTCGAGGAATGTTATTCCCTATCTTTACTTGTACCATATGTTCCCGTGTTTTTTTAGGGAAATATTTTTGACTTGCCTTTACATGTTTTTGTGACTGGTGCCATCGTTTGGGCAGTATAACCTCCCCTTCTCGCGATCACCTGGTATAATCACTATTTGATAGTGATTCATGATATCATGATTTAGGCGGAATCCTAAATCGATTCTGCAGAGATTTCTTATGGATATAGAAAGGGTTTTGTCGCGTTTATATATACCATTATTTCTTTAAAATGTTAAAACTGCGTAAGAAATAAGCTATTGTTTGCGTCATTGGTAACAAACAGTAGTGAGACGCGAATACGCTCTAAATAGAGCCCCAAATTCCGTGAATCTAGGATTCAAACCCACGACACAGCAGATCAAAGGGATGGGACCCCTGATAACCTTCTCAGTCAGCCATACGTATATCAATCAATCAACATGTCATTATGGTGACATTTCTAAAATCTACATTTGATATTTCTCAGTAATATCAAGAATTTGCCCCAAATACAAAACGCCAACGTCAGAGTATAATCAGTGTCGATTATCTGCCGAAACAGATCCTTGTCCAATGTCCAGTAAAAAAGGAAGTTTTTGTTAACTTACGCTCTATAGAAGTACGCCCGCTACACTAGGGTGGCCTGTAAACAATCGAGTCTGGACCAGTCAGTCCAGAGATAGTAGACCAGACAATTCAGCGACACGATAGTGCGTTTACTGATGTTATTGAAACTAAAAATGATAAATGTACAAGTGCAGAGATCCTTCTGCTTACAAAGAAAGAAACACAAAAGAAACATTATCATGAAACTCAGGGATTTAATATCTCCGCAGTTCAACGATGGGCGATGGGTGTAACATAATTTGAGAATCAACAATGAGGAATTATACATCATCTGTCCTGAGTGAATGATTCCTAGAAGTTTATGGCGAGTTACAGCATGGACAGGTAATCTGTAATTCCGAATAACTCAGTATCAGTTTAAAAAAGAAAATGAAGGTAAATCGTATCAAATGTCAAGGTTACTGAGAAAATCTTAACTGAAGCCAGCAAATTGCTCAGATGACGTAATATTATCAATTTGTTACGACATGAACAATGGATGACGTCAAAGTGTATGTTTTAACAATTAAGCACTGTGGCTTCATCAACTGACCAATCAACATAGACAATCACTAAAATGTATTTGTGATTATATCAGAAAGTTTTGTCACACGATATCTCAACATTTAGGTGTAATGTCCTCCTCTCTTGCGTCTTGATACTCCAACACTGCATCGATGTAGTCCACAGCCAGTTTCCCTGCCCAGGATTCAAGCTTGTAGTTCTCTATGAATCCACAGTGACCACCTTTCTCTGTCGTCACCAACATCCAGTTAGGCCGCTGGAAATGATCATAGGGTATGTTGCCAGCAACACAGATCGGATCGTCCAGACTGTTGATACACAACACAGGGGAGACAACTGAATCAACGTTAGCCATTGGGTCGTTGTGCAGCCACATGTCATCAGCGTCCTTGAACCCATGCATCTTGAAGTAGAGGTGACCCTCAAATTCCTCTATAGACTTTGAATTGTAAACAGCTTGGATGTCCACAACTGGCTTCAGAATATGTTCGTTCGGTTTAACCAAAGAGGTTTTTAGCATATATACTATAAATTTCTCATATACGGTGATCATGGCCTCAAATTCAGGTAGATCGAATCCCGACCCTATGAATACAGAGGGGCCGATGTACGACCTCCCAGCGTACTCACCCAAATACCTACTCAGTATAGCCGTTCCTGCGGAGTAAGCAACGCCAGCCATAGCAGCCTTAGGGAACTTCCGGTGAATATGCTCCACACAGTATCGAAAGTCACTTGTTTCCCCAAAGCACTGGAGACGCGGTGTTGTGAGTAAGGAACCACAATGACCGCGCCTGTTGAACACTGCAACTCTGAATCTCCCGGCCGCCATCTTGCACACATTGCTAATACCCCCCTTCCCTCCCCCCACCCCTGGAATTACGACCAACACGGGACTTGTGTCCGTCAGACACGCCTCGTTGTCCAACCAGTCAAGAGAAACGAGACCACCGTCCGGTAAATGTACGTTTTCTCTCTTGTAGTTCAGAGGCGAGAACTCCAGACAACAGATAATTGTATGTACATGTCTATTGCCGAGTCCCCACGGCGGGGTGTAAGGTTCTTTCAGCCGTGGTACTTTATTTATAACGTACTCGTGGAGTTTGGAATCACCATAGAACAGCTTCGGTGCAGACTTTCTTCGTCGGAACCCACCATAATAGGTGTAGACGGCAAGACAACCGACGCAAATGACCACAAATATCATCTCGACCCTTGTGAGAGAAACAGGTCTGATTCGCAATATCTATATCGACAAAAGTCGACTGTCCAACGGCGGCGTTTACCGATGTTAATATAGTAACGGTTTAATGGCGTCGGCGTCAATACTAACTTGATGATAATTGACGTGCTTCCATTGTGAATAACAGCCATTCCCACACATGCACAGCACGTGGACGTGATGATAATTGTTATGTTGCTGTAGAGACAATGCTGTCCTTTAACGTTATGATGGCTGCACCCATGCGCAATATCAATGTATTGTGCGGATTCAATTTCAGTGGCCATTTACTAACATTTTAATTAAAGGGAAAATTATGACAGTAACAGACAAATGTTCATGCTAGTTTCAAAAGTCCTGGGGTCCGTTCCACAAAGCGACCTTCGCGCTCAGGTGATCGTAACTCCCATTCTTGAACACAGACTGACGACTTCTGGGCATCAGTATTAATTAAGTGATTAAAACGCTCCACTATGTACGTGCCAATCTATAGATTTAACTTTAAGCAAATGATATTTTTTACATTGCCATTTTCGGATCTTTAGGGTCACTGCTGCGTCCAATCAGGTTGCAGCTATTTATTATATTTAACGGTAACTCATTAGTTATTGTACGTTTTACACAGAGACAGATCAAACTCGATCTAAGTTATGGAAAGTAGAAATTACATTTTTATTTCAAACACAACTGTGGAGCTACCTCAGCCACTATGCATACAGATCATAAGAAAGATGATTCAATCACATCGGTATTGGTGTATAAAGTCAAACAGCTTGATACAAACACAGCGTGGTGCAGAGCTTCATCATCCAGGCACATTAATCAGCATAATAATGTTAAAAAATGTTTGGACCACAGAGCTAAATTGAATTAGTCCCTTCATTTTGGAAAACAGATTTGGCGAAATGGTACGTGAAACAAACCCGTTCCAGTGCCTGGTTTGCATTAGACTTCTTGTCGATAATGGTTGCAATTTCAGTTTTGATAAGGAATGTTGTCATTGTTTGAAAATATTGGAAACAGCTAAATAATGTTAATAATCAGAAAAGACCATGTTTGGTTGGATGTGATAAACAGGGTATGTTGTGTAAATAGGGTGTAAATATCGTGGAAAGTACACAATAGTGTTAATATCGAATGAATTGTAAACATTATGCAACAGAATGCATTGGCAGCAATATACACGTGTTTATGTGTTTACATAAACGTGTGTGTTACCGATAGATGCATAGATGTCAAATCTTATAAACTTTTGCATTTCAAAAGAAAAATACAAAATATATTTTAAGCTAAAACATTTAAAATCCAAGTGTTTATACACAATATTAGAGGAGCTGTATGGATGCATTGCACACACTGATGAAACTAGTTTCAGTTCAGGTTGACACAGTTTCCAGCAGAAGACGAAAACGTGATTGATATTATGAGCAATGTCCAAGCCTTCTGGTATTGTAACACTCAATGACCTCGTCCATTTGGTCGCCTTTAATGATCAGCATTGGTTACTGGAGACCAACTGGAACCCGGTATCCTACGTTTGACATTATCACAGAGAACATCTAAGTTCAAGCCCCGTTCCATCCAAATGCCCTCTTATTGCGTCGTCAAATTCTTCGTCTTGTGTCACTGTGAGCCAGTTCTTCCATTCTCCTACCTGACCTACAAAGCATGAACAATGAATCAGCAAGGACGCATCGTCAGTAGCACACATATGACTGAATCAACATTCTTAATTCTGTTTCTTGTTTGTCTCCACAGCAATATTGCAGCCATAACAGAGCCGCCTGTTTATACCCCATCTGGGTAAGGCCAACCAGTGTACCCTGTCTGGCGCTCGGCATTAGGGGGCTAAAACAAGGACCGGTCGGCTCGGAGTCAGTATACTGTGTCTGAGTGGGGTATTCATGTTAAACTGCGGCATGGTATCTCAGTGAGCTAGCACTATAAATCGGCATCAATACGGACTAGTACAAGCAGCCACACAAACACACACACGTACATGCACGTCGCTATATAAGTGCAATAATCTTGGACGCGACGTTATACCCCATTTCACCTCACCTCACCATCCAGTGATGGTATGGTATTGATATCTGTAGGGTACGATGACACGCAACCTGGCAGGCCCAGACAACCCAATCCCCATTTCAAAGGGCTCTGACTACAAGTTTTTAGAGACCCGGATTTGCCATTGGGACGTTATCAATTACGCCTTACACTCTACTATGTATATTAGTATCTGAACAAAAGCGACAATAATCCACAATCCATAATCATAAGAAATATTGTACAATGTGCAATTCCGACATTACCATAAGCATGACTGTGTATATGAATCACTATCAAATGGGGATGATACCAGGTGTTCGCGAAAGGATTGGCTTATCTTCCCCAACCAATGGCACATGTTACAAGCACATGCAAAGGCCAATCAACTGTTTCCCTTAAAAAAGGGACTTGCATTGGACATCAGTTTTCTCACTGACGCATCAAATTTGAAAGTGTGCTCAACCATGAGACATAATGAAAGCGTCACCCAGGTCTTGAATGTTGTAACACTGATCAAACAACTCTTAAACAGAAGTCGCCTATTGAAGTCATTGAGGTGAGGTGAAATGGGGTTTAACGTCGCGTCCTAGATTATTGCACTTATATAGCGACGTGTATGCGCGTGTGTGTGTGGCTGCTTGTACTAGTCCGGACTCATGCCGATTTATAGTGCTAGCCCACGGACTGAGATACCCTGCGGCAGTTTAACATGAATACCCCACTCAGAAACAATATACTCCGACTCCGAGCCGACCAGTCCTTGTTTTAGCCCCTAATGCCGAGCGCCAGAGAGGGGAACAACAAGTGCGATCTTTTAACGTATTTTTGAAGTGTTTGAAGAAAGAGCATGCTCGATTGAACCTCGAAAGTTGTGAAACGTTGACACCAAAGTCTGAAGCTGATGGCATATTGTTCGTCATAAAGGGAATGTTGACTATTGGAAAGTTGTCATACAGTCCAGTGGATAGATTTTCGTTACTCTCAGTATTTCAGATTTCTATTTCAATCTTCTTGATGAATCAACTTTATTATTATTAAACTTTGCGCGAAACTTTAGTCAGTTTCTTGGTCGTGTTAATACGAATGTGCAGGTGATGTAACATAAAGCATGGTTAATTTTAATATGTTATCGAGATGTCTGGGCCTTTGGTTTAAGGACTTTGGGCGGAAATCAGCCTAGCTTGTGTAATCGATCCTTTGCATTGAACACTGATGCCGAAAGGGTTTAATCCTCTTTGGAAAACATGGTGAGTACGCCAGGAGAAGACTTGCTGGGGCGGCGTATGTCATTATTAAATCAGTAACTCACCCTCGGTGTCGTACATGTCTGACGTGAGGGGCATGCCGTCACAGTGGGCCTCCGTCTTTACGCGTTTAGCTGGCTGCATTTTGCTGGTGTCACAGGTCGCCTCCACCAAGTCGCCTATAGCTTCTTCATCCATGTCAAGATCCAGAAACTTGCAAAGACCTCGCGTTTGTTTGTAGGGGTTCTGTTGAAATAATCGAGGCATTAAAATTCAGATGAGATGTGAATTCGGTTTACCGATGCTTTGAAGAGTATTTCAGTTACATCACCACACGTCAGCTTGATGTGGGAGGGAAGTGATGTTTATCACTCCTATGAAACCCGCGAGCACGAGTATGGTGTGGACAAACCTACAAAGATATTCAGGACGAACTGGGATTCAAACCCACGATCATAGGTTTCTTGCACGCCTATTGGGTGCAACCCTGTATGCCAAACTGCGACGCCTCCGTACAGGACTATCCTTACCACGTTAATTTCCCCCTTCTGTATGTATATATTGTTCAGGTAGAAAACTTGACTGTTTCCGAAAATAAGTGACATTAACATTCACGCTTACAGACCAAAAGTCTTCCTTATTGGCGGCCATATTGGTCGAAGTGCAAAGATCAGGTCAAAGTAAAAACATAAACAATCACAATATATAATATTATTATATAATATCACAAAGAAAATGGAACCTGTATCCCGAGACCCACTACCAGCTGCACTGGCATCGAATTTCTTTACATTTTGAACAATAACGGCCATAAATAGCGTTAATATTGTGGCTGCAAAGGCGACCATATCTAAAACTGGATTCGCAGCTCTTGGACAAATGCAGATGACAAGATTGGTGTGAACAAGAACCAATCTCCAAGACATACCTTCCGTCTATATCGTTTAAAAGATTGCCTTGAGCTATTTACAGTAAATCTGCCATCACCTATATCATAATGTTTTTTTCGCAGGTCGTCAGACCTCATATTCCTGGAATTGTTTACAGTTCTCTTACCTAAACAATCTTGATCCGGATGAGCTCGATGGTGACAGGGGACATCTTTACGTATGGTTATGCCACTTTCAGCACATTACCATGATTACTTTATAGGGTATTTGGTAATAACAACGACACATGTACTGAACATCAAAACATTAAATTATATTGATTTCACATTTTACATAATAACAAGATGTAACTATATATATTGAACATATATAAAAAAAATATAGAAATAAAGACTTTATGGATAAACTTGAATAAGTGTTTATAACCTAAATAATAAATTTCATTGGTAGATAGTTACTAAGATTTAACCGCATAAGACTCAGAGCACAATAGTACAATATCATGTGAAGAATTGGTGTCAGTTAACAACTTGAGATGAGATGCATGTCATGCAGGTAGTCATCAGAAATAATATCTTAACCATCAACCCAGATATCGTTCTTGTACATAAAGTCATTTGTGTTCTGGCTGACTAAATCTCCTAAAAAACCAGCACACCATTAGCTAGGTCAGACCCACGGTACCATAATAGGTCTCCGGGGAGACAACATCAGACAAGCATGCAACTAGAAAGTGTTTTTACTCGTAAAAACATATGTCTCCCCCCACTCCCCTAACCCCCATTCATTCGTTTACTTCACGTTAAACCCCATCTCTTCATTCCCACCCTCCATTACTAAAAAACAGGGACAAAAATAGAACTCCTAGAAATTTCAAACAACTAATGGGCACCACTTCAGTGCTGGGTTAATGTGTATACAAAGTTTCGCGAAAAAATATTAAACGGTTTCTGAGTTATGGTCAGGAAACAAAGCTTACCCCCATTCAGAGTCTATGTTCAACTTATCTCCATGGAAACGAGAAAAAATAAAAATGTCAAAAATCTCTAAATAGCAAAAGCCACCACTTCAGTGCTGGGTTAATGTGTATACAAAGTTTCGCGAAAAAATATTAAACGGTTTCCGAGTTATGGTCCGGAAACCAAGCTTACCCCCATTCAGAGTCTATGTTCAACTTATCTCCATGGAAACGAGAAAAAATAAAAATGTCAAAAATCTCTAAATAGCAAAAGGCACCACTTCAGTGCTGGGTTAATGTGTATACAAAGTTTCGCGAAAAAATATTAAACGGTTTCCGAGTTATGGTCCGGAAACCAAGCTTACCCCCATTCAGAGTCTATGTTCAACTTATCTCCATGGAAACGAGAAAAAATAAAAATGTCAAAAATCTCTAAATAGCAAAAGGCACCACTTCAGTGCTGGGTTAATGTGTATACAAAGTTTCGCGAAAAAATATTAAACGGTTTCCGAGTTATGGTCCGGAAACCAAGCTTACCCCCATTCAGAGTCTATGTTCAACTTATCTCCATGGAAACGAGAAGAAATAAAAATGTCAAAAATCTCTAAATAGCAAAAGGCACCACTTCAGTGCTGGGTTAATGTGTATACAAAGTTTCGCGAAAAAATATTAAACGGTTTCTGAGTTATGGTCCGGAAACGGTGGGAACACCGACGCCGACGCCAACGCCGACGCCGACGGGAACCGTGCCAAAAACAATATGTCTCCCTCCATTCTGGGGGAGACATAATGACATAAGCTCGATAACTTTAAGTCTTTAACTAAATAGTGTTAGCTGTTACGATGTAAAAAAGAGATTGAATCTTACCAACTGAAATAATGCATGAAAAGCAAAAAATAAAAGACACAACAGGTTGGTATGATCAAAAACGTGTATTCAAATTAACAATCAATATCAATGACAGAGTCACTATAGCTAATAGAACGGACAAGTCGCTGGTGCACAAGGTCACACGACATGATACAGAAGGTACAATGACAATACAATGATCCGATAACAACCTCAAAATGTTGACAAAGTATGCTGCACGTAAAAACCACAATCAGAATTCCCTGATTTTCTGTATCAAGAAGTAATCAGGAACAAATTGGACAAATATGAATTTTAAGATCTAAAATCAACATCATGATAATACCTTCAACACAAACAGAAATGGCAATAATTTCAGTGTCAAGTATTACCAAGGAAACCATGAGTCAGAAACAAGCTCAGCTAATGAGCAAGTGAGTATGGCTTTACGCATCTTCCCGAGGCAAGGGAGTTAACTGACTATAAGAGTCCAGTTTCCACCCTTGCCGAACTAGGCTGGTATCATGGAGTTACATTTTGGCTGGACTAACGAGTCTATGCATGGTCCAATCAAAATCGCGCTCCGAAATCGAAAACCGGTTCGCAAACTGTCATGTAGATTTCGGTCGATTGGAGGATTTGCAAAGCATGTGCACCGCTAACTCAACAGATATATTCTAAATCGTTTCATGTTTTTAATCAAGGTGCTCACGTGATTTGATGCACTTCGCGATGTAAGACTCGTTTTATCACAATATCAGATCGTCTTAACTGGGCGCCACCGTTTTGTTTGAAGCAAACGCAAGTGATACGAGAGGGGGAATCTGATTGGTCCATAGGAGAGGCATAGAAGGAATATAACTTGTAATAGCCACTGGTGGTGGTACGATCGAGCCCAGGAAATTGAGCATAGCTCGGCAAGGGTGGAAACTGGATTTTTAAAGTCAGTTCACTCTCTCGCCTCGGGAAGATGAGCTTTACGCCGTGTTCAGCAATATTCCAGCAATATCATGGCAGGGGTACCAGAGATGTGTTTCACATATTGTAACCATATCGGGATTCGAATCTGGGTCTTCGGCGTCCATCACTGGGCTACCCGATCGCCCCAGTTCAACTAATGATACCTTCTACACTAAAACCTCTACTGACAACAGGGAAAGTGTTTGCAGGTAAAGGACTTGCAGAAGCAGCACCACACAACCATTTCTAGAAGTCCCCAGAAATCATTCCATCCCAGTGTGATACAATTAACTTCCATTTAGTGAAATACATCAAGGATATGGACCTGTTCAGATGAGGATACTTCGCCTCAGGTCTCCAGCAAATGTCAAAACAAATTCACAAATGGGAATAGATATTTCCCACTTTCGTTTATAGTCATAACTAACTTAACTGATGGTTTGGTCAAGGTGACACATAATTCCCTGACATCAGGACCAATAAATATGACAACAAGGAAGAGTCTTTAATGCTTAATTTTCATTGTTGCAGTGACTGATTAAAGTACCTCTGACAGTCTGAAAATAAGATTTAAAAATATCAAAATCAAACAAAATGGTTTTTTTCCAAATTTGCCTGCTGCATGTCTTCTAAAACGGGGAACTATCTAAAACATGCACAAGGCATGTCTACTGTAATGACATCACTTCAAGTCGTATGACATGTCTGGTAAGGGAACACATGCAAGATGCAGTATAAGTTTTCACCAGAACACCCTATGACATTAATAAGAATGTTATACATATTTTGATTGAATGATATCACTTAAGACTTGGTAAAAACATGTCAAACACAGTATTACTGTAAAACAGAAAGTCCTGTACCTCCAACGACATTAACATGAAAAGTAAGTAAGACATCACTTTTCTGGTTGAATGAAATCACTTTTGGTTTGAAAAACACATATATTATCCAGAGATCCAACAAATGTCCTTGGAGATATTGCTTTCCTGAAAACACATTGGTCAAATAATATTAGCATTAGTGTTAGGTTTAATTGTTCAAATCTATTTGTAACTATATTTTCCTTGAAAACACTTACATTTTATTCCATCAGTGCAATGACATGAGTGAGTTGTGTTTAGCGCCGCTTTTAACAGTCTTCAAGTTATCTCAGGGCGTGTCAGCTTAATGTGGGAGGAAAGCCCGAAGTGATGCAGGTCTAAGACGTTTAACACTTCCATGAAACCCACGAGCATGGGTATGGAGCTGACAAACCTAGAAACATAATCGGGGCGAACCGGGATTCAGACCCACAATCATAGGTTTTTGGTGTACCAAAGGGACGCAACTCCGCACAGCGAATCGCGGCGACTGAGCCACCCGTGCCCCGCAATGACATGACGGTCAGAATACTGAACTAAAAGAACATCGTGCAGACTCCGAGTTTTGTCACATTTATCGACTTGTGTTGACATATAGACCCGTGAAGATCCGGGGTAGAATTGGTCTTCAGCAACCCATGCTTGTCGTAAATGGCGACTATGCGTGTCGTAAGAGGCGACTAACGGGATCGAGCGGTGAGGCTCGCTGACTTGGTTGATGCATGTCATCATATCCCAAATGCGTGGATCGATGCTCCTGATGTCAATGCCTAGATTGTCTGGCCCAGACTCGATTATTTACAGACCGCCGTCATATAGCTGGAGTGCGGCGTTAAGCAACAAACAAAATGTGTTGACATATTCTATTCAAAAGAAGTAAAAGAACACTTGATTCTTTCATAAGACTACAGCTTACCATCAGTTTTGATTTCAGACAGATTTGCTAATCATGTCTTAAACAGATGGTTTAACATCATTCAGAGAATCGAACTGTATCCCGTCATGAACTGAATTGTTATTAGCTGTCACTAGAATCAAATATTTACGATTTTATAAAGCGTTTTTGTACTTGAACTTGTAAGTCAGTTATAGATTTCTTAAAAAAGACAACTCTCATATATACGTAGTATTTCATTTGACAGTAATGTGGTCACTGGTCATTGTCACATTTGAGCAGATACTACCAGGATAAGTGCGGTATATAAATGTATTATATTATAATAATAATTAACACTGTCAACATGGTCAAACCATGACAAATACTTGATTTTGTTATTGTTTCACTGAATACAATAAATGATACATCAACTGCTGACTTGTTATCGTATTCATGAATAAATATTCATATTCGTTCCCTATATTCGTGATATGTATCCCATTCGCCACATAGTACATCCCTCCATCACAGTGGCATTGATAAACCATACCTAGACTTCATGTCACAGTCATATGCAAAGAAATATTGTCCTGATATGAAAGGTGCAACGTCCAAGTAAAAGAGAGAACTGGTTGAAGATAAGATGGATTCAGGTGCTTAGAGATTATCCCCAGACTACTGATAACCCAGGCACAACTTCCTGGAAATAAACATCCAGTGAACCAATGGAAGATGATTGGAGTGTGTAGGGGTGTGTGTGTTATGCTACAAATCTAAACTGCCAATATCAGAAGCAAAGAATAAAGATCTTAGATTCCTTGAAAAAGGAAAATTATCCCTGATGATTTCCAAGTATATTATGCTGCACTGCCATGTTCAAATGCAGAAAAAAACCAACTCTTGCTTCCAGATCATGATCATTTCAACGGCACCGATTCAGAATTGTGATAATTTGTCCTGTCACCCTTACTTATTCTTGTTAAGTAATGCGCATTCATTACAAGTTGAAATGCAGTCAGTTTTGAACGGACTCTGTGACTTTCAATGAAACAAGGTGCCATGTGTCAGTTCACACTTTGTTGACTATCTTCACCTTGCTGCGTTAACCCATCGATATGTCCAGTTTGTCTAACAACCTACACCTTTAAGTCCCTTTAAGGCTTCAGCTTCTTTCAAAAGGATGACCTTGACCCTCAATCTCAGTCCATCAATGGCTTGATTACTTCTTGTTGACACAGAACCCAAGATAACCTGTGCATTTATGTAAAATAAGCAAACAATTAACCAGTAAACAATTAATTTTGACCTTTTTGCAAAAAATATGCATGAATTTGTTTAAAAAAATATATAATTATATAACCATGTGATAACACTTTGCACTTTAACCTAATGTATCCTTTTCAACCCCTGTACCTGTATTTCATCACAGATTGTTAGTTCACTGATTGAAAGCACAGATACATTAAATTCTACTGCAGTGAATAATGCATCGACATTATAAAAGGGTACTTCATGCATATCACTGTCATGGCTGCTGTTGGTTGTTAATGCAACATGTTGTACACCAGGTGTTGCACATGATGCAAATTAGAAGTCACCTGAAACAACATTTTAATCAATATTACATGAAAAATGTCCACAGTACTCATTGGTGTAAAAATACCCAACTGACTGGAATCAATGGACTACAAATATCCTGAGTTACCAAAGAAAACTATCAAATATGTGAATGCTAGCTTGTTGGTAAACGGGGGCATTGGTGGCCCAGTTGTCTATGGCACTGTGATTCGCTGTGCAGAGTTGCATCCCTTGGGCACACCAGAAACCTATGATTGTGGGTTGGAATCCCGGTTCTCCCCGATGATGTTTCTAGGTTTGTCTGCACCATATCTGTGCCCATGGGTTTCACCAAAGTGGTAAACGTGTGAGACCTGCATCACTTCGGGCTTTCCTCCCACATTAAGCTGACAAGTCGTGATATAACTGGAATACTGTTAAAAGCGACATTTACACTCAATGGCCCAAACTATTACCTGGAGCCCTGTGAAACTATGGTGCTAGTTTGTACAGACATCAACACAGTGGCTGAGTTAAGTATATGAAGAATCTGAACAACCAATGAATGACCATTTAAGTAACCTTGACCCTCAATGACCACCAGAAGTATATGGACCAAATTTCATCCAAATGCAGTAAAGAATTCTTGTGTGTTGGACCATGTGCTTGTGGAGATAGGGGTTGACCTTCAATATCAGCTACATTTATTTCAAGAACAAGGCCAAGGATACCAACACATCAGCAAAATATGATGTCCCCAGGAGGAATTCATTGCAGCAAAGCAATGTTGCATACAATAACAGTACAGTGATCCCTCGCTACAACGCTACCTTTGGGGTCCAAATTATCGATCAACGTTATGGACGTTATGTAGTAGAATGTAGATCCCCATGATTAACAACTGATATTCATGACAGAAGAATCCCTTGTCATACATGACTTCGATAAGTATTAAAATAATACAAACACTACATGATAAGTTTTAGAAATATCAGGTGTTTTAGAGAAATGGCAAAAGCTCTTTATGAATGACCTTACACATTTTACATGTAGGCATGAAATGTATATGTCCTTGACCAACAGTAAGTCCACTTCTAGTTTGGCAGTACACAATTACTACATATCCAATGAGCACCTCAGCTATCTTGGTCATGCTAGGTGTTTAATAACGTTTTTATTCCATGACCTTGAGGATGAAATTGACCATTGACACGACAGACAAAGTGTCAAAAATATTTCTAAAGGCAATGAAGGAGATACACATGATATGATATCCCTTAGATAACCAAGGTGTGTTGGGATTTTTTTTAAACAATAATAATTTGATCCAGAAAATACTGGAATTTGTGTTTTTTACCTTAGTTTATACAAACAAAAACATTTAACTAGCCATACAGGATGTGGTAAATATGTTTATAATTTGAATGAAATGTGGGTCTTGATAAAGTGTGCTAAAATTTATTTGGTCTCAAACAAAAATTCAAGACCAGATACCAATTATCAAATGGCCGGTCCCTCAGTAAGAACAAAATGTTGAGATGGTAATGCATGCCGTCCAAGCCTCACACCACATTTATATCCTTCTATGGACCATGTCAACTGTGTTTGTGTCTTTTGTGTCTCTCCAGGAATCCTGATTTCTTAAATACTTTCCCACACACATCGCACTCAAATGACTTAACTCCGCTGTGATGCCGCCTTTTGTGTGTCTGAAGATTACTTGATCCTGTAAATGTCTTCTCACATTCATCACACTTGTAAGGTTTGACTCCACTGTGGCTCCTCATATGCATCTGCAGCTGCCCGGATGTTGTGAACGCTTTCCTACACTCACAACACTGAAAAGGTTTCACGCCACTGTGGCGCTTCATGTGTACATTCAGGCTGCTCTTTTCCGTAAACCCTTTCCCACACACGCTGCACTTACAAGGCTTTTCACCAGTGTGGCTCCTCATGTGTATTTGCAGCTTAATTGAACGTGCAAAGGCTTTCCCACAAACCCCACACTCAAATGGCCTGACTCCGCTGTGACCCTTCATGTGTTCCTGCAGGTTACCTGATCTTGCAAACGCTTTCCCACACTCACCACACACAAACGACCTGACACCACTGTGACACTTTGAATGTTTCTGTAGGTTACCTCGTTGTCTAAACCTTTTCCCACACTCTTTACACTCAAAAGGCTCATCTGTCCTGTGACACATCATGTGCCTCTGCAGGTCACCCGATTCTGTAAAAGTCTTTCCACACTCATTGCACCCAAATGGCCTAATTGTACTGTGACTCCTCATGTGTTTTTTAAGATTATGCGGAAGTCCAAATGTCTTCCCACATTCCATACACACCAAGTTAGATTTGACTGCACTGTGAACAATCATGTGTCGAAGTAAATGGGCCGATTGTATGAACTTTTTCCCACAGTCTGTACACTCAAAGGGCTTGACTCCGCCATGACTGACCATGTGAGTATTCAAGTTGCTTGATTGCGTATATTTCTTCCCACACACTTTACACTCATACGGCTTCACTCCGCTGTGATACAGCATGTGATTCTGTAAGTTACTTGTCTGTTTAAATTTTTTCCCACACACTGTACATTCATAAGGCTTGAGTCCGCTGTGATTGAGCATGTGTATCTGTAAGTTACTGGTTTGTGAGAATGTTTTCCCACACTCAATACATTCATGAGGCTTGATTCCGCTGTGACACAACATGTGTGTCTTTAGGTGTCCTGATCTTTTAAATCTTTTCCCACACTCAGTACACTCATGCCGTCTTACTTCATGTTCCCTAGGATGGCTCCTTTCTAGCAGTTCTCCCACACATCCAGTGTCCTGGTCACTGAAAGAGTTGCTGATCTGAACTGGACTTGTTTCTGGCAGTTCTCCCACACATCCAGTGTTCTGGTCACTGATAGAGTTGTTGATCTGAACTGGACTTGTTTCTATAAGTTCACCCACACATCCAGTGTCCCGGTCACTGATAGAGATGTTGATCTGAACTGGACTTGTTTCTAGAAGTTCTCCCACACATCTAGTGTTCTGGTCACTGATAGAGTTGTTGATCTGAACTGGACTTGTTTCTATAAGTTCTCCCACACATCCAGTGTCCTGGTCACTGAAAGAGTTGCTGATCTGAACTGGACTTGTTTCTGGCAGTTCTCCCACACATCCAGTGTTCTGGTCACTGATAGAGTTGTTGATCTGAACTGGACTTGTTTCTATAAGTTCTCCCACACATCCAGTGTTTTGGTCACTGATAGAGTTGTTGATCTGTACTGGACTTGTTTCTATAAGTTCTCCCACACATCCAGTGTTTTGGTCACTGATAGAGTTGCTTATCTGAACTGGACTTGTTTCTAGAAGTTCCCCCACACATCCAGTGTTCTGGTCACTGATAGAGTTGTTGATCTGTACTGGACTTGTTTCTAGAAGTTCTCCCACACATCCAGTGTTCTGGTCACTGATAGAGTTGTTGATCTGAACTGGACTTGTTTCTAGAAGTTCTCCATCACATCCAGTGTACTGGTCACTGATAGAGTTGCTTATCTGAACTAGACTTGTTTCTAGTAGTTCTCCCACACATCCAGTGTTCTGGTCACTGATAGAGTTGCTTATCTGAACTGGACTTGTTTCTAGGAGTTCTCCCCCACATCCAGTGTTCTGGTCACTGATAGAGTTGCTGATCTGAACTGGACTTGTTTCTAGGAGTTCTCCCACACATCCAGTGTTCTGGTCACTGATAGAGTTGCTTATCTGAACTGGACTTGTTTCTAGGAGTTCTCCCACACATCCAGTGTCCTGGTCACTGATAGAGTTGTTGATCTGAACTGGACTTGTTTCTGGCAGTTCTCCCACACATCCAGGATGTCCAGTTTTCTGGTCACTAATAGTGTCGCGGATGTGTACTGGACCTTGTTTTTCCATATTTTGGATATTACTGCCTTAAGTATCTAGCATGAACTTCAAAGATGTGTTTTCCTTCACACATCTTCTTAAGTTGGTTCAGCACCACACATGAAACCAGCTTAAAACTGAAAAGGAACCACAGAAGTATATTATTATGATATTGACATGATAACAAGTTGTAAGTTACATTGCAGAAATACCCCTGCTAGAGAGTGAGTAAGAGGGTGTGGTTTTATGACGCTTTTAGCAATATTCCAGCAATATCCCGGTGGTGGACACCAGAAATAGGCTTCACATACTGTACCCATATGGAGAATTGAACCCAGGCCTGACAACGGACGCTTTAACCACTAAGCTACCCTACCGCTCACCAGCTAGAGGAACAAATTAAATAACTGATTCTTGTCAGGAGTAACAGTTTACTAGTCACTGATAGCATGAACAAAGACTGTAGGTACATGATAACACAAGATCACATGTTTAATCACATTACCCCAGGTCATTTGTTTGGTTCATGCAGCAGTAAGCAAATATTTCATTATTTTCACTGTGGCCCATAAACATGATAAATGAGGGTGCCAACCCCTCCTGCCATGAAACCTGAATACCATCTAATTGCTCACTCTGAGTCTCATTGGCTTACCCCTAAATCCTGAATACCACTTAACAACAAATTTCACCAACAAAAATTTATTGAAAACATTTCTGGGTCATATAGGGTGTGATTTGCAGTTAGATCACTTACGTACAACATTATTGCTATTCTTTTTTAATGTTTAACCTCATAGCAAGTACTTATTGTATTTGCACCAATGGAACAAACACCGCAGAGACCCTCTACAAAGAACCTACCCGTGGAGATCTAGGTTAGAAGTATTGTGTACAGTCATTCATGTAATGCTGCTGCAACTCAGCTTGGAGAGGTGGGTGTTTGATGTTTGTTGTTTAACGCCACACTCAGCAATATTCCAGCTATATGACAGTGGTCTGTAAATAATCGAGTCTGGACCAGACAATCCAGTGATTGACATCATGAGCATTGATCCACACAATTGAGATACAATGACATGCATCAACCAAGTGAGCCTGACCACCCAATCCTGTTAGTCGCCTCTTACGACAAGCATAGTCGCCCTTTACTGCAAGTATGGACTGTTGAAGACCTATTCAACCCCGGATCTTCATGGAGAAATGATTGAGTGAGAACAATTAACTGTGATAACAAATGCTTCCAAATGAGTGTACCACCTGTCCCAAAACAGAATAATTTCAAGTCAGTGAGAGTAACTTAGTGAGTTCTCAGTGACAAATATAGGTATGTCTTTTGGAATGTTGCCATTTCACTTTCTTCAATCTTATCACCATTGTAAGCATGATACATATACATAGTATAACTGACATATATATTCTGATAAGAAATACACTCATTATTCAGCGTGTTTGTGGTTGATTTTATTCCAATTAACATTGAAACCTCAAAGATACACATGATATACACATGATACAGGTTGAAGGGTTCCGAGCATGTGCATGACAGCCTTGGACCCCTCAAAATTTTCACTGAGTGTCCCTTGACTCAAAAATAGTTAGACCTAGGTAAATTGACAGTTTCACTTCAGAGCTTGTCATGACATTTCAACCGAACAATCCTTCCCCACCCCTTCTGTACTGCTGCCCTTGAAGATTCGGGTTAGAATATGTCTTCAGCAACCCATGCTTTGGTTGGGATTTGGTGGTCAGACTCGGTGACTTGTTTGATTGTTTCATATCCCAATTATGTGTATAAACGCTCATGATATCACTCTCTGGATTGTCTGATCCAGACTTGATTAATCGAAGGTAGCTTGAATATTGCTGAGTGTGTCATTAAACAACAAACAAAACATTGGTCTGCCATGTGTGTGTTACCTGACAAGTTATACATTTACAGGGTCAAACCTGGATTACAGCCTTACCAAGATTTTGAGCCAAGACAGGAGAAATGTCAAATGGGAACAACTGATTGGTCGATACAGATCCAAGACATCATCATGCAAATTCCCACACATCACAGGTGGGATCTTAAGGTTGGTCATGACAGCTATCATTGTATATTTAGCATTGTTATTGTCAAGTAATACCTCCAACTACGCCTTTACTAAAGTAATAAGCTGAGCATCAGGTAAATGATGGCCTCTGGCCTCATGGCAGTACTGGCCTCCAGGCAGTAATTGTTCAGTTATTTCTTAAATATTTAGTCTGAGGTACGACTAACTTTGGCTGTTGGCCTTGTTGTGGGCACAGGTACTACCAGATATCTTTTTGAATACACAAATGTACCCTAGCTTGGCAATATATTTACAGTACCATTTTCACAATGCATGAACCCGGTCTCAGTCCTGTGTGCAATATGCCATACAATTCCTACAGAAAGTTACCGGGGGTATAATTTGTGTATACAGAACGCTACCTGGGGTACAATTCTGAAGTACCTGTGCTGACAATGAACTCTGAATATTGGTGCTCATTTTGGTGCATGAATATGGTCTTCAGTTGATTTCAGATATAAAAGTTACCCAGTTAGTGCCCAAACATCTACCTGCTAGAACTTGTGACATGGTTATTTGGGCATAATCTCTATTACTATTATGTATATGTGAGTCTGTAAATGACCATGTACACATGGATCTTACCTCTAGAGACAAGAATAAACTTAACTAGAATCAGCTGTATTTCCATGATTACATTAATCACAAACCAATAAGACGTGATAGGTACAGTAGATATGTAGAGTGGGTGAACACTCCCAGCGATTCTTAGCCGAGAGCCACAATGGGATCTGACAGTCAAGCAATGACCCTACAGTATGACGCTCTCGGATAGCTGGTTCTATATAGAGTGGGGAGTTGGATGGTTAACATGAAATCAATCAATTTCATTATCTTAATTAGAACTTTATCCTGGGTATCAACTAGTGGTGGGATGATACACCGATGCATCGTGATTTTTTACTTCTCGATACAAGTATCGATCACAGTCACACACAAAGTAAAAATTTTTAATTCTGACCTTAAATGTTTGCTTTAATAACTGTTCCACTAATCAGTAGTGCAAATTAATATTAAAAACATAAATATTTTCATCCATTGTGCCATACTTCACACTACCAACTGTAAATCATCAGTGAACCCAACAGTGAACACACAATGCCATTTAGAAAGTGGTTAAATGTAACAAATGTTTTATTTGGGATAACAGTTTCTTAGTAAAGCAAAGATTCTCCGGGATTCGAACCCACACTGCCAGAGTGAGGCACCTAATCTTTACTGAGAAAGTGTTATCCCAAATATAACATTTGTTACATGAACCCAAAAGGTTCTCACCACAGGAACTCGATGATAGCGTGTATAACATAATATATTCGTATCGAAAAAAAATCACACCCCTCTATATACATGATATACGTAGAGAATCTATGTATATAGAGTGGTCTGATTTTTTCTCTCTATTCAGTGTGCAGGCAAAAACGGCACCTCAGCAAAAGGTCATAGATTTCTTTGGCGAAAACTGCCACTATGTGTTGGCGAAAACGGCACCTCTATTTTTGATAACGATAAGAACGATTTAGTATTATATCTTCATCACATATTTATAACATCAGTTCATGTACCACTGAGCATTGTGATAGTAGCTGACTCAGCTAATATCTCGATAACAGGCCACAGAAAGTCTGGTACCACATACACAATTGGTCCACTGGTCACTGTGGTCAGATGGTACAGCATGTTGATTTTTTCTGACATTCTTCTTGCATGCAATTCATCCAAAGGCCATTGTGAATAATATTGATCAGACATCACCATGTTAGGCCTCTTAAATACAGTTTCAGCTTGACATTAAGTTAAACTGAGTAAATGTACCTAAACTTCAAGGCGTAGAGTGTTTTCACAATAAGTTAGCTGAGCCCCCTATCAGAGTCGGCGAGTAAATTGGAGTAGGGGACTAATTTCTAAGGTAAACTTGTTTTAACATTTCACAATTATTTGTGTTTGTAAGAGATGATGTGAGTTTAATTTCATTTATTTTACTTCAAAGCATGTTATGTTTTCACAATAAGTTGAGTTGCGTATAGGCAAAGTTGGAATATAGTTGGCGTAGAGGCTAATTTCTAATGTAAACTTGTTTTAACATTTCACAATTATTCATGTTTGCAAGTTACCATGTAAGTTTAATTTCATTTACACATTTATTTGACCAAGGTAAAAAAACATAAGGTGCCGTTTTCGCCAGGCAATAGTAGCCGTTTTCGCTTGAGGCGAGGTGACGTTTCCGCCAATCGGTGCCGTTTTCGCCAATCGGTGCCGTTTTGCTCAGGTGCCGTTTTAGCTATAAGTTATAACCCCCCAAATATGTTATACACGCGATCATCGAGTTCCTCTGGTTTTCACGGGGCAGGGTTAAAAGATGATTTTAAAAGTAACAACCTACTGCACTTTCAAAAAGTAACCTCGGTCCGCAAATGATCCGTATCGAGCTAGAGACATACCCGGAGGTGTCATGAATTTGACCATGAAACTTATAATAATAACAAACCAAACTCGGGCCAGACGAGACCTCTCTGACTGATTGCAATCTTAAAGAAGGCTTCACTCTTTGTAAACGCTTGGGGAAAGTCGGATAACGTATCGGGTCGCGCGGTAGTGTATATCTATATCTTTTCCATTCATCTTTCTAAACATGTATACCTACCATGTTACTGCGTCAGGAGATAAATGATTCCAATGAACACATCGCGTGAAAGAGTCAAGCTTCGAGCTTTGTTTTTCTCAAAGCTCCTCACAGCGATCACCAGTGCGACGATAGGAGGCAAAAGACAGTGTTACGCGCTGAGATAGAGTTGGGGTCAAAGGGAAGTAACTCTAAATATCGCACCAGTCATTTGTTGCTAAGAGTGTTCAAGTTCGATTCTAACTTGACCAATCTTTTCAAAATGTTTTTCATAATTTTTTGAAGTGTCAACAGGAATTTTGATCAATGTGTGATGCTATTTAGATAAATCATGGACTTATATTTTTTTTGATGAGCTCTTGTTTACATATATCCGTGACTAAATAAGTAACTAAATACATTAAAATATATTTACAAAGACGCCTGCTCACGTATATATGCCAAGCATTTCATAACACCGAGTCGCCAAAGAGCGAAGTGTACGTGCGAAAAGTTCTGGTTGCACATTTTAGTTCACATTCATGAGGCTGCCAACCTTTTGGTACGCGGGATTCGGGAAGCTATTTCAATAGAAATGAGTCGCGTCCAAGATTATTGCACTTATACAGCGACGTGCATGGACATGTGTGTGTGTGTGGCTGCTTGTACTAGTCCGGACTCATGCCGATTTATAGTACTAGCCCACGGACTGAGACACCATGTCGCAGTTTATCATGAATACCCCACTCAGACACAGAATATACTGATTCCGAGCCGACCAGTCCTTGTTTTAGCCCCTTTATGCCGAGCACAAGGCAGGGTAACAACAAGCACCATCTTTTAACGTCTTTTAAATTGGTATGACGCGGTCGGGTATTTCAATAGAGAGTATGCGGGACTCAGCAGTGTGGTATCCATGACGCAAATAAAATTGCAAACAAACATAAAACATTGGTCAACCATGTTAATTCGGGTTAAACCATTCCAGGGCTATGAAATCGAACGTAAATACAGTTAATTATATAAGCAGATAGTTCGTGATACAAAAGTTTTTAATGCATCACAAATATCCGTGTTTCAGAACAAAGATAAAACTCGACAGATGAGATGACATATATCATCATGATCACTTAAAACAGATTTGATACCCCAATCCCACCATCTCTGCTCGGGAGTACACTTGAAATGTAGCATTGATTCAATAAAATGTAGAATGTATTTTGATATTTGAAAAAAACACAAACAAACATCACATGCAATTCCGCAATTCCAACAGGTAATAGAAAATACAAATAAACAGCTGTTAATGGAAATGCTCCTGTGGATAGACTGCATTCCCTTTCATGTGCTCAACAGATTGTTTGAAGCAACCACAATGAAGCCAGATAACATGATGAGCTATAACGAACCAGCAAGCTTGGTATGTTAGCAATCCTTTTAGTTTCAGACTTGAGTACCCTTGGCTCTCTCATAAAGCATCCCCATGAACATTGGCCATCGTTGCACTTTGTTGTTGAAACACGTGGTGCTCATAGACGCCAGTCAGGTATCATATCCCAAATATCTCTTTTGTAATATATTATTCTCAGATCTGCTTCGAAGACGGCTCATTTATATTAAAGTTCAAGGTTATCCTGAAGGTCATGCCTTAAAAAGCGACTAACAAGATACTCATTTACCGAAGATCCGTTAAACTTCGTTGAGACTAGAAAGGGTCACGAGTGACCAACGTTTGAGGTAAAGGACACATTGAAGGTCATTCGCAAAGAGGGTTTGCCAAGGCTCTTTTCTTCAGACATGACAATTCCCGTGCATGTAGTCGGAAGCGCTGAGGATGGGTATACTAGAAGCGTAACCGCTTGTAGATTTACATATCTGACGTCGTGTGTATGACTATTTCACAATATTCAAGACCTACAGAGTTCACAATGATCCAGAGAGGAGAGATATAGAGAGAAAGAAATTGTCACTTACCTGGTGACCTGGTGATGTTATTGCCTTGTCCTGACTCCGGGACGGCCCCCGTGGTCTAGTGGATACATCGTATGCCCGGTCAGCGGCATGTGGTTTGATCCCGTGCGTCATACCAAAATACGTTAAAAGATGGTACTTGTTGTTGCCCTGCCCGACGATCGGCATTAAGGCCTAAAACAATGACTGGTCGGCTCGGAGTCAGTATACTATGTCCGAGTTGAGTATCGATATTAAACAGCGGCATGGTATCTCATCAGTAGGCTAGGACTATATAACCGTCATTAGCTCGGACGAACGCGCGTGCAATCACAGGCACACACAAACGCAAGCACGCGCGCGCACACACACACGTGCATGCACGTCTCTTTTTAAGTGCAATAATCTTGAACGCCATTACAGCTCAACTGACTCAATAAGGCATCAACTGTACACAATTGGCACACAATTATTTTTTTCTGGTTGCAGGGTTCACTTTCAAGAAGAACACGTGAAACCGCTCTCACTGAGGACCTCCTGGTCACCTCTACTGCTGACACGGCTGCCTGGACGGGTCACTGCCTACTGTAGTAGCGCCCTCGGGTTCTAGAAACCTATGACATTGGGTTCGAACACCAATTCGCCCTGATTATGTCCCTAGGTTTGGCAGCACCATACGAGTGACTCACTCAGTCAGTCTACCTGCTTGATTGGAAAACAAAGATATTCCCCTGAATTCCTACCCTAGCAGCCTTGGCCCCGTTACACAAAGACATCTTAGCATACTTTAACACTGGCCTACGATAGTCGTAGCGCTAAGATCGCTTTGTGGAACGGTGCCCTGGTCATGATTCTCGCTGCCCATGTGTATATCAACCTGCATTGGCACATGCCATCTTTGATAGTGGACATAATCTCCCACATAAATAACTAATGACTTAACACGACCACAAAGCAGTAACGGTAAATTACGAACCGGAACATGCCAAAGAGTTTTTGTCTGGCGGTGGATTCAAAATTGTGGCCGAAGCAGTGACATATTCGGAAGCCTTTGAGGGCCATTTTTTCTTACATAACAGGGATAATGCGACTGTTTTGTGTCTTCTCGTCACGCCAGGTCTGCGTTGAGTTGGCCAAAGTGCCAGGAAACATTATTTGCAGACAAATGATATTAACGGCATGTACATACAGAAGGGAAAATAATACTGACATACCATTAGCTATGTAAACGTGTTTGTTAGAGCCCGAGAACTGCTTGGGTCACTACTTCAAGATATTTTTTTGTTTCTCATGGGGAGGCCGTACGTTTTTGATTTCTAACATAACATATTTTTCCAGGGCATACAACATATCCAGGGAACAACTCGCGAACATTCTCAGATATCAATGAAAGTCAACTTGTTTCATTAAAATGGCATCTGACGAGAACTCTTGTAGTATTCTCGAGACATCTCAAAATAATTTTGCGGTTTTGTGGTAGACATGACTCTGTCTTTCTAAGTGAGTGAGGTGGGTTTAACGCTGCTTTTAACAGGATTCCAGTAATATCGCGGTCTGTCCGCTTAATGTGGGAGGAAAGCCCAAAGTGATGCAGGTCTCACACTTTTATCACTTCGGTGAAACCCACGAGCACGGGTATGGTGCTGACAAACCTAGAAACATGGTCGGGGCGAACTGGGATTCGAACCCACAATCATAGGTTGCTGGCGTGCCCAAGGGACGCAACTCTGCACACCGAATCGCGGCGACTTAGACAACTGGGCCACCCGTGTCCCCTGTCTTTCTTAACAACTTGTTAGATGCATAAATACTCTGCAGGTCAAAGAAAGTATGGACCCATGTGTGATGGGGGCTAAAACTGAAACAAACAAGAAATGGTTTCTAGTATTCCATGGTGGTGTATTTGATACGGGTATCATGGTTGTGTTTTGGACCTAAGTTTGCAGTGTTTCGGTTACTGTATTCAGACTACTGACGTTCTGATATCGCTTGTAATTTTGGGACAAATGAACGTTTCAATTAGATGCGTTTTTGGCCCGGCAGTTTACATTAATACACATTGGATCCTACCGCTTGGGTGTCTTCAAAACGGAGTGTGTGGACCAGGAGATCTCGATGCCCAGTAAAGTCCTGCTGATATTGCCTCACATGGTGGAACCACCCGTCATATCCAGCTGCAACGTCAAGAACTTCATGAACACATCGTGAACTTTAAGACAGGATTAATGAACAGGCAAATGACAAGCTGAGAAATAAGACAAATGAGTACAGTCGTACTGACTTACAGTATTTCTCTACACATCTTCGGATGATCTGAAATTTCGTCACTGATCATTGTGCTATATTCCATATTTTCCTGTATACTTGCATTTCCGAGAATTTGAAATAGTGCCACGGTTTCGTAGCTCACCTGGGTATGTAGCCAACAGCTTTTAAATGTCAACAAAATCAGTATCAACATCAGTGGATGTCAGCATTGCTTTTCAAATAGTTTCTGCATAAATTCGTAAATACATGATAATAGTATTAACGAATATTAAACAAGTAACTTCATTTTACACCTTTTTTAATCTGCAAGAGTGAATGTACTATCGTATACATTGTTGCAATGTAAAACATTTAAATTTACTGTATGCAATGGCTTATGCACCTTAAAGGATAATGCCACACACGACTTCCAATTGGTTCACGAAGAACACAATATTATTCCAATAATTTGAAAAAAATATGATGTCATCATTAGGAGAAACGTAATAGCAATGTTGATCTTCCTCTGTTTGGCAATTGCAGAGGAGAAGAAGAAGAAGATCCAAAAGTGCTTTTAGAGAAGATGAGAACAGGAGTGGCTGCGCAGTAGCCATAAAAAGGTTTTTCAATCAGTATCCAACACGTCTAATATGAATCAGGGCCTCAACCACAAAGTTTTCATGTGATGATACGATTTACGATACATTTCTTTCTGTATCAAAACGATACATTTACTGAAATATATTACTTACTTCTTGTTTAATAAGCTCCAGCATGTTTGTCAGTCAAATATCGCAAATGAGTTGTCATCAGTGTTTCATGTTCACTACTAAATATAGCCACTACATCGAGTCTAAAGCTGGATTTTCTTTTTGAAGCTGCTGTGAAATATTTACAGGTCAATAGGTTTCGATATATCTAACGTATCTTGATACGTATCATATCGTGACTTTACTGGATCGTTTCACCCTAGGTCTAGGCAGTATAGGAGATGTATTATGTTTATGATGTATATGTGTAGACACTTTAAATAATAAGTATTCTGGTTAATCTTTTTTTAACCTAAGGCTAGTTTGAGGACTAGTATACTAGCTGCTAAGACAGCGACATTTAACCTCTTCAACAGGTTCCTTTGTCACACAAACGTTCACATCTGTGGAGCCCCACTACTGACTACACCAAATTTTCATTACATTTTAAACAAAAATGGCTGAACAGTGGCCACCCATAGTTTCAATATGGCTGCTGTGGCGACCATATTGAAAATCTGATTTGAAGCTCTTGATCAAATATAGGTGTAATCACTGGTAAGATGAAATATGTTAAGTTTTATCTTCATAAGTCCAGTGATGTCAAAAGAGATGATGTTATTAAAGTACTAGGAAATGCATATTTAGAGAATGTAGAAATATGGTGAGGTCAGATGACAAATGTAACATATTGCAAAAGCGGATCAGACATGTTGGGCTCCACTTCAAAATGCATGGACACAACTGAATTACATTTTGAACAAAAAGGCCGTGAACAGTTATTTATCTAGAAGCCTATAGGAACTTCAACCTCAGCTGTCAGCATCAATGGGATGAAGCATGAAGATTCAGCTTCATTGGTCGTGTGGTTCCTGAGGTGGAGTTGTTTAAAGATGACGCCGGATGTCGGAGAACCAGGCTGTAGGCATAAGCCCAATTTCTTTTCAATAAGGTGAGCAATAAATTAATGTTATTCATTACTAGCTTTGGTATTCTCTACACAGAGCGAATATCTACACAAATACATTACGTTTAAGGAATAATTATATGTATGATTTCAATGATTTAATTTGTTCTGTGTGACATCGGAGAACAAATCCTCAATATTACAGCGAGGATATTAAACTGGTTTAAAACAAAACAGAAATCCAAATATATATCCCATTAAATATTCACCCAACAGGGACAGTATGGAAATAACGGATCGCGAACAAGAACCTTCCTTTGACCTGGACGTCTGTATGAGTATAGTCACCCTTCCTTCACATTAAAAAAAAATATGACGCTCGTACAAATGGGAACCAGGGTCGCAAATTAGGTGTGATATCTGCTCCTATCCGAAAAAATTATATGATCAAACCTTCTTTTATAATCTTATGCTGTACTGACAGGAGGCAAAATTGCATAAACCAGTTATATAATCAAATCTGAAGAAAATTTGGTCATAGTATCTCGCGTTTCTGATATGAATAAACATTTTAAGAGTTTATGCTGGGAATAAGATTATTTGCATTAAATAAATATTTTCATTGTTCATCAATCAACACTTACTGGAATGATTCAAAAATGCCTGAAGGAAAGACTGAAAGGTTCTCCTGCATCCTCCTCTCCCCTTCTGTGTGTGGAGATACTGGGACACGCACACATCCTTGGGGTTCCGGACGAGGTAGAGAATCTTTGGCTTGTGGGTGAGGATCTGTGACGGGAGGAACCGGAGGGGGTAGTGGGAATGGAGGAGCCTGGGGGAGGGGAGGTCAGCGAGCTGGTCAGCTGAGGTACGGTCCAGTAGGTGGAACTGACCAGTCCGGTGATGGTCGTCTGAGCCGGGGGTCGGGAGGCTGGTAAGGATATTCCACAATGAAGAGCATCCTGGAGAAGAAACATGCAGTGTGTGATTAGGTTTTCATGACGCTTTAGTATTAGTCCATCCATTTTACAGCCAGGGAACACCTGTAATGGTCTTCCGACAAAGTTTGCAATTGAACCCGGATGTTCGGAATGAGTGAGTTTACGCCGCTGTTAGCAATAGTCCAGCAATATCACGCGGAGACCAGAAATGGTCTTCAAGCATTGTACAAATGTTGGGAATCGAACTGGGTGTTCGGGTGGCGAGTCAATATTTTAGCCACTGGACTGCCCCGAGTGTTGAAGAGGATGGGGTTGAGTGACTGAGCAGAAGGGGTTTTACGTTCCGGTGTGGGAATCGAACCCGGGCTTTTGCGTGACGTGTGAACGCTCTAACGAAAAGGCTGTCTTCATCCTGGATTATTGAATATTGTGTCATATATACGATCAACGAACAAAATAATGAACTGAAAAATCGAACTGATGTTGTGATTGGGATATGTTGACTGTTCATTTGGGGACTAACAATGACTGATAGTATTTGTAAACACTTCAGTTATATATGACGTGTTCATGTCATACTAGAGCAAATTCCGCATACACACACACAAATTATATATATAGATACACATTCTACATATAGATATTGCTTTTGTGATTGTTGTTTAACGCAACAGGCAGCAGTGCTTCAGCCATATGAGGGCGGCCTGCAAATAGTCCGAACTGGGTCAGACAGACCAGTGATTAATATTATGAACAATGAACCACGTCACCGAACCAGACCACCCCATCCATGTAGTTGCTGCCAAAAACGATCAGCACAGTTTTCTCGTTCTCTCCCTCCCTCCCTCCTTCTCACACTCTCTCTCCCTCCCTCACCCCCTCTCTCTCATTCTCTCACTCTCTCTCTCCCTCCTCACTCTCTCATTCTCTCACTCTCTCTCCCTCCCTCACCCCCTCTCTCTCTCATTCTCTCACTCTCTCTCTCCCTCCTCACTCTCTCTCTATCTCTCGCGCTCTCTCTCCCTCCCTCTCTCTCTCCCTCTCTCTTTCTCTCGCTTCTCTCTCCCTCCCTCACCCCCTCTCTCTCTCTCCCTCCCTCACCCCTCTCTCTCTTTCTCTCTCCCTCCCCCACCCCCTCTCTCTTTTTCTCTCGCTCTCTCTCTCCCTCCCTCTCATTTTGCGCTTTGATTTTCTGCACTCACCTGAATATGGATATCCAATAATGAACACATCGTCTTGCCTCACTGCCAGATCCCTCACCTGTGTGATGTGTGTATGTAGGGCCCTGTCTCCGGGATACACCTGGAACTCACACCCATCGTACTCCATCAAGGGGAGGTAGTCCCCAGGTCGTGGCGTCTCACACATGGAAGGGCAGTAATTGGGTTCGTAGAGAAATACGCACAGGTGAAATGGTACCTGCCTTGGAAACAAGGAGACTGTCAATGAGAACTATAAACATTCCTAGTTTGTAACTACTAAATATTAAATCCATGATTAGAACATTCCCTATGGACAAAGCCGTCTGGCTATTATTGCCGGTAAGGGAGAGACGTGGGTTTACCGCCGCTTTGAACAGTATTTAGTCATTATTGAGGGAGCTATCTGGCTTAAAAAGTGAGGGAGCTATCTGGCATAATAAGTGTGGGAGCTATCTGGCATAATTAGTGAGGGAGCTATCTGGCATAATTAGTAGGGGAGCTATCTGGCATAATTAGTGAGGGAGCTATCTGGCATAATGAGTGAGGGAGCAATCTGGCATAAAAAGTGAGGGGGCTATCTGGCATAATTAGTGAGGGAGCAATCTGGCATAATTAGTGAGGGAGCAATCTGGCATAATTAGTGAGGGAGCAATCTGGCATAATCAGTGAGGGAGCTATCTGGCATAATTAGTGAGGGAGCTATGTGGCATAATTAGTGAGGGAGCTATGTGGCATAATTAGTGAGGGAGCTATCTTGCATAATTAGTGGGGGAGCTATCTGGCATAATTAGTGAGGGAGCTACCTGGCATAATTAGTTAGGGAGCTATCTGACATAATTAGTGAGGGAGCTATCTGGCATAATCAGTGAGGGAGCTATCTGGCATAATTAGTGAGGGAGCTATCTGGCATAATTAGTGAGGGAGCTATCTGGCATAATTAGCGAGGGAGCTATCTGGCATAATAAGTGAGGGAGCTATCTGGCATAATTAGTGAGGGAGCTATCTGGCATAATTAGTGAGGGAGCTTTCTGGCGTAATCAGCGAGGGAGCTATCTGGCATAATTAGCGAGGGAGCTATCTGGCATAATTAATGAGGGAGCTATCTGGCATAATAAGTGAGGGAGCTATCTGGCATAATTAGTGAGGGAGCTATCTGGCATAATTAGTGAGGGAGCTTTCTGGCGTAATCAGCGAGGGAGCTATCTGGCATAATAAGCGAGGGAGCTATCTGGCATCATTAATGAGGGAGCTATCTGGCATAATTAGTGAGGGAGCTATCTGGCATAATTAGTGAGGGAGCTATGTGGCATAATTAGTGAGGGAGCTATGTGGCATAATTAGTGAGGGAGCTATCTGGCATAATTAGTGAGGGAGATATGTTGCATAATTAGTGAGGGAGCTATCTGGCATCATTAGTGAGGGCGCTATTTGGCATAATTAGTGAGGGAGCTATGTGGCATAATTAGTTAGGGAGCTATCTGGCATACGCCACACCTATTATATACACCCCTTTACTGTCGTGCTAGCAACATTCGCATGGTGTATGAAAATAAATTATAAGAAAGTGTTTATGAATAATACATATTTAAACCACGTGTTATATGTGACCACAATCGATCTGTTAGACCATGGCAATATGCCAGGTCAGGCATGTCGCTAAGACCAGCACTCGGAGCACATTCGTATCACACCAGGTAACCATGTAAACACAATCATAGCGTCCATAGCAACCAGGTGTAATGGATGTCGACCGATATCATATCAAGAAATTCAGATACTCGCAACACAACATGCAAAAAAACACTATTCCCTTTACCACGGTATGATGAGGTTATATATTGAGCTGCGTTTATGACCCCTTCGTTATACAACATGTGGTTGTTATCGCAATAACATACCTTGTCTCTCAGATCTGTGACTTGCATAAACTGTCCAGCCTTGGTGTGAGCGTGTCGGGCTGACAGAAATAGCTGTAAGATATCCTCCCGTGCATCTGGGTTAAACTCCCTCGCGCAATGTTGTCCTAGCCATTCTACCCCGTGTACACTGAGAGTGTGCGACACCAAGGCTTAACCAGTCTACGTCGGCAGTGCTCGAAACAAACAGGGCTGGGGCTAAATACAGCATTAGGACGCTTCTTTGCTTGTTGTGTAGAGCCGCTAGGGTTTATGTTATACATTTGCTAGTAAACGCATAATTCACACTGTGAGAATCTAAGGGTTAACAGGACAGGAAATTAAGTTGATCGGATTGACAAGCAGCGGGTATTGATTTCCTTCATTGTTATGCAGAGTCGCTTGTGTTTGTCTTACATGTGTCAATAAACTATAATTAACACTACAGTATTTTAAGGGTTAACTGGACACGGAAGTCAAGGACGAAAAGGTTGACGAGTAGCGGATATTGACTTCCTAACAGACGTGCAGTGAATACCGTAAGTCTTGAAATTAATGCGACGCTTCCTTTAGTGTTGGTAGACACCAGGGTTTGTGATAATTAATAAATAAATAAATAAATAAATAAATAAATAAATAAATAAATAAATAAATAAATAAATAAATATCTTATTAAAGCTTTATTCATTGTGTGAGAGGGTGGGTTTGACGCAGCTTTGAATGATATTTCAGTTAGATCACAGTATCCGAATCAGTTTATTTAGGTAGGACAACTCAGTAACCCAGGTCGTAGACGTTTAATTGCTACCAGTGCAGCCTTGTGTACACATATCATGGTTCATTATCGGCCGACTCTGGGATTCGAACTCTTTAACTTTCCCGTCGCCGTTTAGTATGCATAGACTCACAACGCCTGCGCAGTAAACTAGATGACAGGTGACTGTCTTAACGCAACAGTCAACGAGTAACAGTTTACCCGACAATCGTACACGGACAGAGAACAGTGTCCTATATTTGCATATTGAGGTAATTATCAGTCAGTTGGGCTGTCTCCCATAACAAATTCATGTCATGACCACTACACTAAATTAAAACCACAAGGGCATATTACCCACTGAGGAGTAGGGATTGGATGGAGAGGAGCAAGCTGTGAGAGATTTAGCTTAGAAGGATGTTAACCTTGTGTTCATTGACATTCCTGCATTCTGATTAGCTGAATTTGTCACGTGTTATTGCATTCATCTCCCCACGCCAACCGAAGCGGACTACTTTTAATACTACGGAATGTTGGGGAATCCAAATATTACAGTCGAGGGAATTCCCTTTCTCCTCACGAGTATCGGCATGCACGGGGCATTTAGCGAATTCATACGATTTGCACATCGGTTTTTCGATTCATACCTCAATGAACCGAACAAATACACAGTCATTCCTTAATTGTTATGTTTTAACAAGTATATTCATGTCTTTGAACGGCATTTAGAAGTGATACAAATAAAGGAATAGAATTTATGAATGTCAACTGCTTTATTATGAGGAACACAACGTGTCGGAGTACATGCTCACTCCTTCAACTGATACTCCGAAGCGTTGTGTTCCTCATAATAAAGGAGTTGACATCCATAAATATACACCTCAATATGATATCGGATAGAATATCCTTGAAACAGAATGCAAACATACATTACCATGTATTTCATATCAGAGGTCAAATAAGGTGAGTTAACCAATCAGAAGTAAGTAAAACAAATCTTTTAAAAATTAAACTAGACATGGTACAAATACAGTAAACTACGGTTATAACGAACTCAAAGGGACTACTAATTTTAGTTCGTTATAACCGTAATTCGTTATAAGCACATATACAGCATAACTACAGCATATAGTCGGGACTAAAAAGTTAGTTCGTTATATCCGTTAGTTCGTTATAAGCGTGTTCGTTATAACCGTAGTTTACTGTATGCAAGATTCCCCTTGCCACTCTGAAAACAGGAACTGTAGTTAAATTCGCTATAGTTTATCTCTTAACGCCAAGATATGAAATAGCAACGGCCAAATGTATCTGAACAGAGCAGGCAAAACAATTCTATCCATTTCTAAAAGGATAACCACTTCGTATCACTACTAAAAATACAAAATTATTAATGCAAAAAACCTCCAGAAATCTTAAGGATACTAAAAGTCCGACTAGATATGTGTATCCTACTCACACACGTGAGTCCCAAAGAGGGGCAGTTCAGCAGAAATTGCTAAGTCAGAACGCGATCTCTTAAAGCACTCAATGCTACTGTCGAACCCATTCGACAGTGTGTCGCTAGCCGCGCAGCTACAGGCGAATAGCATAAAGACACCCAAATAGCATTCAGAATAACTGTTTAGCAAGTACACTTTACATATCATTTAAATCATCTATGGTATGCATAAATACTCAGCTCTCTAACTGTTAAAATTTTAAGTACTTCCCGCAAGTTGAAAAGGTATCGATCGGTCAAATATCTAGGCACACAACCACCGCAGCGTCTAGTGTTGACTTGAGGTATGCAGACCATTACTTTCTCTTTACAGTTCTCATTTTTTTCATTTGATCACAATTTTTTGTTCGTTGATGAAAAGATGTTTATGTTCGTAATTTCTGAAAATAAGCAAATTTTGGTTGAATTAATTATAAACAAAAACAACCTGGATCGTTACATTATCGATTGGATGAAACGGACAGAACCATGGCAACGGCGGATCCCGTTATACTATTACAATCCTTTTCTTACATCTAACTAATTGTTCTAGAATTTTTACTTAGATAATTATTTTGGTAAAATTAATCTCATATTTAACGAGTTTGCAAATGATTTTAAATTTCAGAATTACCATTGCGTTGTATGCCAACAAAAAGATGAATTTAAACTGAATTAAATTTAACGTTAATATAAAAATCTTATATCTTACTCTTTAAAAAAAAGAATTCAATTGTAATCATTCAGTGTTTTTTTGTGTTTGTTTGTTGCAGGACTAGCCCACTTCATGATAAAGGGGACAGGCAGTGGATTAGCTGCCCGCTGAACCATATCTTTGTAGTGATTTTGGCATGTAGTTTTTTTTTTGAGGATACCGTTATCTGCCTTGACTAATCTAAGCTTGCTACTGGCAGAAGATCAGTGATCCAGTTTCTGGATACAGTTGGACATTTCATCAAATTACAGTAATGTTGCTAGTAATGATGTAGTGCTAATGTTATAAAACATGAAGATGATGGATATAAATGTACAGTTCTATGATAATACATGTGTATTTATGATATTTGATGTTGTGAAAACATTTGAGTTGTGAAGATCTCATATACAAAAAGAAATGACAGTATCAAAAGTCAAATCATTCTTTGTTATCTTGTTGGAAGAGTTCATTTTACTTTAGGGATAAGGGTACAAGTGTGATATGCACTCATCCATAAATTTGTTTTGATAGTAGTGTAGGCGATATGAGTTGTAGGCCAGATGAGGACAGGCCGTCTAATCACGTGACTGAGGTAATAGCGAAGTTACGCAAGGAGTAAGAAGTTGTCCAAACGAGGTAGCCAGTTTCAAGCGTCCATCATAACAAGTACAGATTAACATGGAAAGTCTGCAGTAAGATAATATTCTCCTCAAATTAGCTTCATCCATCATCGCTATTGCAGTGTTTTTTAATTAGTTGACACCATACGCGACGATAAACGAGTTGGGCAGATGTTCTGTTGACGACGCCCCCATATCCCGATGACAAACATTCGGCTCCTCTCGGCCCTATCAGTCCGATACACGGTACGTTCGGGTGTGAAGTCCTGGGAAATGTCACAATGTAGAATGTTCACAATACCCTTTGGTCTGTGGACAAACGAATTGTTGAATTCGCCATACTTCTAACCCTTGTTTGATAGAGGCTTCAACTACTCTCGTTGGATAAACGATTTATTCACAGAGCCGTACACATGTCTGACATCGACGATGCATGAATGTCAACAGACACATATATTCAAACATCAGGGGCAGTTAATTCTGATCATCATTGCCGGTTAACATACATGTATAAGATCAGGTAAAGCATATAATAGTGCAAATAAAACGTCCATAAAATATCAATACACAGTAACTTAAAATTCCATTCTAACAGGAGTGAGTGAGTGTTATGGTTTTACGCCGCTTTTAGCAATATTCCAGCAATATCACGGCGGGGGACACCAGAAATGGGCTTCACACATTGTACCCATGTCGGGAATCGAACCCGGGTCTTCGGCGTGACGAGCGAACGCTTTAACCACTAGGCTACCCGACCGCCCCCATTCTAACAGGAATGAATGAATGACTGCACACGTTCTCTGCAAAGCTGACCTATTCTTTACCCTGTTTAACCCTTAGACATTATCACAAAGTTGTTGAGGATATGTTTAATTTGATTTAAAAAAATTGAGAATTCTATAATAGTGAAATGCGACGTTATTTCATCAGTGTCATTGTTATCTGCACCAAGAAAGAATGCTAACATACCATGATCATCCATCTTCTCTATTTTAACATATACTCAACAACAAAAGTTCCTATGACACCAATATTTTAGTGTATTTTTCAAACAAGTAAAGATTGGTTTTCAATATTGTAGTCGTGTATGAATCAAGAATGAAAAACGCAACTGCTCCAGAAAAGCATGCATTCCATGCAAAATGTGACTTTTATACAAGCCCAATGCATTTCACTACCAACAAATGGGCCAAAAATCATGTGCGTTAAAGGGATTCCATATTCATTGTTTAGCATCGTGCTGACAACCACTCAGGAAAACAACAAAATTACGCAGTTATTCAACATTACTAAAAGCCACGCCTGTCCGAAAATGAGCGTCTGCAAGCCATTGGTATGCTTGAAGCAGGATCGAGTCAACGTGATGTTGCAAGACAATTTAATGTCCACAGAAACACCGGTCTATTTGGTGCTTATGACAACGTTGGCAACAGACGAATGCAGTCAGAGACCATCCTCGGAGTGGCAGGCCACGCGTAACCAATAATCGACAAGACAAATGGATTCGAACAACACACCTACGAAATCGATTCCAAAGAAGGATCCCTGGCCTTCGACGAATATCTTCACAAACCGTACGTCGTCGCCTCAGATGAGCAGGGCTTGTCGCCAGAAGACCCACCAGACGTCCCATTTTGACAGGAAACCACCGTCAAGCAAGTCTACAGTGGTGCAGACAGCGTCTACGCTGGACGACCATGCAGTGGGGACAAGTTCTATTCACCGACGAGTCTCGTTTTCACCTCAG